GTGTGTGTGTGTGTGTGTGTGTGTGTGTGTGTGTGTGTGACCTACAGGTGCCCCCTCCCTGAGCCTCAGCTGCCCTCTCCAGGAAGTCGGGCAGCCTTCACAAGAGCTTAGTGAAGCAGGGCTGTTAACAGGGCGTCCCTCCGGAATGCGGCTTCTGTTTCTGTTCGCTCACGTTCCCCACTGTCCCTCCTGCGTCTAGACGAGGGGTGCCACCCTGGCGCTCAGTATATACGGGTAAAGAAATTCTTTACAGAGGAGGAGCCAAGGCCCAGAGGCACGGATGATCCGCTGCCCTGCCCGCCTCCCCCCGGCTCCCCCTCTGCTCCACCCCCCCAGCTTGGGGGACTCTGCTCTCACCTCAATGCCCGAGTTCCGGACAAAATCCTTCCTGCAGATGTGGGCCATGATCCCTGCGGCCAGAGCGTCACCTAGCACGTTGATCATGGTGCGGAAACGGTCCCTGGCGGACAGAGGGGTGGTTAACGGCCCGGGGTCTTTTAACAGACAGGCAGGGGTCAGACGGCTGTGCTTAACCCAAAGGAACGAGGCCACCACAGCTGCCCCACAGCTGTGATCAGTGGGGTAGTGGTGCCTTTGCCATCCCTCGGAGTGGTCGAGGCAGGCAGATGCAGGGCTGGCACGAGCTGTTACAGCCCTCCTGCAAGTCATCAGAACTCTAAACCCGGGCCCGGCACTTTCATATGCATGCTCAGAAACCAACGCCAAATTCACTGCCATCAAGTTGGTTCCAGCCCACAGCGACCTTACAGGACAGAGGGGCAGGGCCCCTGGGCGTTTCTGAGGCTGCAAAATCTTTCCAGGGAACTGCACGCTTCATTTTCCTCCTTCCGATCAGCCGCTGGATTCCAAGTGCAGGCCGGATGGGGAACGCATGATGCCCCTAGGGCTCACCAAAGGCCCCCACAAGTTATGCAGCCAGTTCTGAGCCACTGGGCAGAATCTCCCCTGGCCCTTACCTCCCTAACCCCCCGGAGAAGCCCCCCACTCAGCTCCCCGTGCACAGTGGAGCTGTGCCTGGTGTCTCAGAATTGTGTGTGTGTGTGTGTGTGTGACATCGCCCTCCACTCACAGAGCCCAGTCGATGGCGATGATGAGGGTGATATCATCGGTGGGCAGCCCCACGGAGGTGAGCACGATGACCATGGTGACCAGCCCAGCCTGGGGGATGCCGGCCGCCCCGATGCTGGCTGCGGTCGCGGTGATGCTGCAGGGGTCACAGGGGAGGACGCAGCACAGTGTCAGGCGAGAAGGCCAGGGCCTTGGGGACAGCCAGTTGGGGTAGGTGGTTTCATAGGGATACCAAGGTCCCTGCTCAAGATCCTGCACCCCTCACAGATCCTCAGGAGTTGGTGGAACCCCATGTCTGAAGCTGCTGACTTGAGGTTCCCAGGGAGCTGCATTTTCAGCACTTTACCGAGCCTGGGCTTCCACTGGCTGGGCAATGCCTTGGGGTGCCTCTGAGCCGCAATGTTCAGCCTTCCCTTCAGCCTCTGCCCATTCCCAGTCCCCCAGATCCACTCTGTCCCTGGCCTCTGCTCACCCTGTCCCACCTCCAGTGCCCGCCCTCCCCCCGGCCCCAACTACAGCACCCCCAGCCCTGCCTCTGGGAGCTGCCCACCCTCAGCTCTTCCCACTCACAGGTTCCAGGGCCACACCGGAAGGAGCCCCGTGCTGGGGGCCATGGAGACCAGGGCCCACTCTTGGCCCCTGTGCTGACCTGCTGTGTGTCCTGGGGTGTGCCCCTGTGACCACTCTAGACCACTCCCAGTACCATCAGTCCCAGGAGCCTGAGAATCCTGGTGGCCTCCCTGGACCCCACCCGGTCACCTGATGGTGATGATCTGGCCGAAGTCCAGCTCATGGTTGTTGACCTGGGCAATGAAGATGGCGGCCACGGCTTCGTAGAGCGCGGTGCCATCCATGTTGATGGTGGCCCCCACGGGCAGCACGAAGCGGGCGATGCGCCGGTCGATGTGGTTGTTCTCCAGCAGGCACTTGAAGGTGATGGGCAGCGTGGCCGAGCTGTGGGCAGAGGGGTTAGGGTCTGTCCACCACTTCCTCCAGGATGGACAAGGCCTTGGGCTGTCCGCCTGCTGGCCTACGGTAAGGGAGTTACAGGCTGAAAGGGCTCGAGAAAGGTCACGGGTGGTCCCTGGCAGCCGTGGCGGTCAGACCTAGAGTTAGAATTCCAAAATGGAAGGGCATGCTCAGCATATCCTAAACGGAAAGAACTCAGGAGACATTCAAGTCTCCAGTCCCCAAACTGAATGCTTCTTTGGGAAAAGTAGTGGGTGATTCAGGTAGCATCGGAAGAAGATGGAGAGAACACAGGGAGTCACTGTACCAAAAAGAACTAGTCGACATTCAACCATTTTAAGCAGTAGCATATGAGCAAGACCAACAATACTGAAGGAAGAAGTCCAAGCTGCACTGAAAGTGTTAGCAGAAAACAAGGCTCCAGGAGTTGATGGAACACCAATTGAGATGTTTCAACAAGCTGATGAAGCGCTGGAAACACTCACTGGTTTACACTAGGAAATTTGGCAGACAGCTACTTGGCCAACTGACAGGACGAGACCCATATCTGTGACCCGACAGAAGCTCAAATTATAGAACAGTATCACTGATATCACATGCCAGTAAAATTTGACTGAAGATCGTTCAACAGTGGTTGCAGCAATACATTGACAGGGAGCTGCTAGGGATTCAGGCTGGGTTCAGAAGCGGATGTGGAACAAGGGATATCATTGCTGAGTTCAGATGAGCCTTGACTGAGAGACAAGAAAGGTGTTTACTTGTGTTTTTTTTTTTTACTATGCCAAGACATTCAACTGTGTGAACTGTAAGAAACTGTAGACAGCCTCGAGAAGAAAGGGAATTCCGGGAAGTGGAATTGTTTCACGCAGAACCTGTGGCTGCGCTAACGACAAGGGGATACTACATGGTTTAAAATCAAGAAAGGTGTGCATCAGGGCTGTATCCTTTCATTGTATTGTATGCTAAACCATCAGGGAAATCGGTTATATGAATGACTGGGCATCAGGATCGGAGGAAGGCTTCTTCACAACCTGTGCTGTGCAGATAAACACAATCTTGCTTGCTGGAAGTGAGGAGGACTTGAAGCACTTCTGAGGAGGATCAAGGATCGATCTTGAGTATGAACTTTGACTCGATGTAGAGGAAATCAGAATCCTCACCCTCGGACCAACGGGCAATGCCATGGTAAACAGAGCAAAGACTGACATTGTCTAAGGTTTCATCTGGCTTGGATTCACAAACACCGCTCCTGGAAGCAGCAGTGCAGGAATCAAACAGCACTGTGCACCGGGTGACTCTGCTGCCCAAGACCTCTGGGAAGTATTGAAAACCAAGACTGTGACTTTGAGGACTAAGGTGAGCCTGGCCCAAGCTATAGCATTTTCCATGGCTTCTTATGCATGTGAAAATTGTACATCAAATAAGGAAGCCTTTGAATGGAAGGTACCGTGGACTGCTATAAGAGCCAACAAACCTGCCGTGGAAGAAGTACAGCCAGAGTACTCTTTAGAGGCAAGGATGGTGAGACTTCCTCTCACGTACTTTGCACCTGTTGTCAGGTGAGACTAGCCCTGGAGCAGGACATCAGGCTTGGTAAAGTAGGGGGCAGTGACAAAGAGGAAGGCCTTCGAGAAGAGGGATTGGCACCGTGGCAGAAACGATGGGCTCAAACCTAAAAACAGGTGTGAGAATGGCACAGGACCGTGCAGCGCGCCACTCTCTGTAGACCGGGTCATTGTGGGTTGGAGTCGACTTGATAGCCCCTACAAGCAACTGGCACCAAAGCTCAAGTTGGCATGGCCCCAGGGTCTTCCTTTCTCGCCAGAGGTCACTTCCTGGGGCCCTCAGTTCCACTGCCAGAGGCTTTCACAAGCCCTGGGGTGCTGGGCTGAGACTGATGTTTCCTGAAGCCGGGGCACAGGACAGGTAGCCGTGTGTGCCTCTGCCTTCCCAGTCTCCTCCTAGACTTTGCCCTGGTTGTGGGTTCCCGGGCTGTGGCTTCTGGGGCTGCTTCCTCAGGAGGGTTCCGCTCTGTCTGAGTACCGCATGAGGTACTTCTGCAGCCAAGTGTGGGGTCATGGGACTGCCAGGGAAGGAGGCCTGCAGGGGTCTCCTTCTCCTTGTTACAGATTGGGAAGCGGAGCCCAGGCTGGAGAAGGCAGTACTGGCGGACCAGTTCCTATCTTGCTTGTGAGGCCACCTCACCCTACCCTGTCTTCTCGGGATACAATGCTCCGGAAATGGCCATGGCTGCCCTTCCCTTGATTGACAAGAGGTCTGCAAGGCTCTAAGTCAGAGAGGGCTGTGCTTGGCTGCAGCTGGGGGTCCTTAAGGGCAGGTGAGTTCACACAGCATCACTGTGAGGTAGTGGCTAGACCTACTGTATCCCCATTGGATGGTTGGGGGCTGAATGACTGGACCCCACAGCTAGTGGGCAATGGCACCTGGCAAACCCAGCAGTTTATCTACACTGCCAAGGCTGTATCCGGACATCCAGTAAGGTTTTCTCAGACAGTAGATGGGCAAAGGCCCCAGAACTGTGGAGCAGATGGGGGCAGGGGGCATCGCCAACAGTGGCACTATGTGGCCGTGAGAGGCAATGACACTGGACTTCAGCCTCTTTCTCTTGACCTGTGGAAGCTGAGCACATTGGATTGACCACACTCCAGGGGTTGTTGGGAGTCCAGGTGGTAGTCCAGTGGGCTACACATGGAACTGCTCACCACAGAGTCAGCGGTTTGAACCCACCAGCCACTGCTCAGACAAAGGATGAGGCTGTCCACTCCCTTGAACAGTTAAAGTCTCAAGGACTGAAGGAGGCAATTCTACTCTGTTGGAGCCGGTTGGTCGTAACTGAGTTTGGGGTTTCTTTTGTGAGAGCCCACTGGGGAGCCCGGGTGGTGGGTTTGCGGTTTTATTATTGTGGGGCCTTGGGAGGAGTCCTGGTGGTATAGTGGTGAGGAGCTGGATTACAAACTGCAAGGTCAGCAGTCCGAAACCACCAGTCTCTCTGTGGGAGAAAGCTGGGCCTTTCTACTCTTGTGAAGAGTGACAGTCTTGGAAAGCCCCTGGGGCAGTTCCACCCTGTGCCAGGGGGCCCCTATGAGTCGGCACTGACTCGGTGGCAGTGAGCATGCTGTTTTCGGGAGGAGAAGACCTCAGGGAAGGATGAGGGCGTTCGCTCCACTATGGTGGTAGATGGAGCTTGCATGAAAGTTTACTGAGCAAGTCTTATTCCCACAGAGACCCCACACGTGTGCCCTTCCGGTGGCTCTGTGACTCAGGATGGCTGGGCGGTGGGCAGCGTTCGGGCCCCACCACCTCGTCCTGCCACTGCCCGGGGGGCTACCTGGAGGAGGTGGCCAGCGCGATGAGCAGGGCCTGGAGGATGCCCCGGATGAAGACGATGGGGTTCTTCTTGGTGATGGAAAAGTAGAGCAGGGGCAGGATGAGGAGCCCGTGGACCACCAGCCCGGACACCACAGTGATGGCGTAGAAGCCCAGCTTCTTCCTCACGGCCGAGGGGTCGTCCATCTCCACGATCTTGCCGGCGATGAGGAACACAATGCCGAAGGGGAAGTACCTGGGTGGGCAAGCAGCCCAGGCTCAGGGGCCCGCCAGGCAAGCCTCCCGGCCCTACCTGGTCAGTGCAGGCCGCAGCCTTTCGGAGCCCCGCCGGGCTCACACAAGAGCCTGTCCAGAGGGGCCAGCCCAGCGTCAGGTGCCCCGGGCAAGCTCTCGCTCCCCCTCTGAGAGCACCCTGCCTTCAGGAGGCCCAGGTCCCAGCCCCAGCCAAGCCACGGCTGTGGGTGACCCGGCAGGCCTTCCTCGGTGGAACTTTGCCAGGTTCCTGAGGTTTGAACTCTGAACCTGGGAGAGAGGGCTGGTTCTCATGCTAACGATTGCTTCCTCCAAAAGCTGAGCTGATGAAACACCCTGGGATGGGGAAACTGAGGCCCTGGGAGCAGCTGGGCCTGCCCCTGGGCCTGGCTGGACCCATAACCGGATTGGGCCAGTGGAGGCAGGGCCAGGGATGTGGAGGAATGTGTATGGCTCTGGTGGCCCCAGGCCCATCCTCAACCTCAAGGGGAGCTTTCTCCTGGGAGGAGGATGGGCCATGTGTCCCATCCCTCCATCCTTCCAGGCAGGGTCTGTGGGGGATGGGCAGGGAGTGCAGGACGCCTACAGGAGGCTTACCACACGGCCACCGCCACCATCTTCATGACGGACTCGTTGAGACACTGGCAGAAGCTGACCAGCGGGGCTCCGCTGTCACCCATGCGGCCCAGCATGATGCCTGCAGGGGCAGCGGCGTGAGCATTGCCATATGCCCTGGGGTGGGGTGGGGGTGGGGGGGCAGGGGCGCGGCGCGGGGAGGCTGGGCACGGGAGCCTGCATATGCAGACGCACGCGGACCCACGCACAGGCGCCTCCGCCCTGGCTGGCTGCCCAGGCCACTAGTCCCCCCGCCACTTTCCTCAGCCTCTGAGTGGTCTGACTCAGCGACCTCCCAGGAGGCCCACTGCGGCTCGTGGTCCTCTTCCCCGTTCCACATTTCCCACAAATGCCTTCTTAAAATAAAACTGCCCATCACCCCTGCGGGCTTCCTGGGCACTTAGCCAAGCATCGCCCCCCCACCCCCCACCCCCCACCCCAGCACCAGGCCCTGCCCCATCATGCTCCAACGTCACTGGCCTGTCTGGGGTTTCCAGAACCCTGCAATCTGCCCTAGTGGCAGAGTGGTTACGTGCTGGGCTGCTTACCTCAAGGTCAGCAGTTCAAAACCACCAGCTGCTCTGTGGGAGAAAGCTGAGGCTTTCTGCTCCCGGAAAGGGCTACGGTCTTGGAAACCCACAGGGGCAGGTTCTGCAGGGTCGCTGTGAGTGAGGCTTGGCTCGATGGCTGTGAGCTTTGTCATGCGGCCGGCAGCACTGGCTACATCCCTGTGCTGATTCCTCTGCCCGGAGTCGGACATGCCCGCTTCCACTCCTTTGCTCCTCTGCTTGCTTAGTTTATTCTTCCCCGCCTCGCCTCTGGCTGATGCTTCCCAGCACTTATGAAAAAGTAGCCATCACGGCTGAGCTGATCCTGACTCTGGCCGCCCCTTTTGATGGGATCAGACAACCTCTTCTTTCTCCCACGGAGCCATTGGTGGGTTTGAACTGCCAATGCGGAGGTTCACAGCCCAATGCCTAATTCCCCGGGCCACTAGGGCCCTTAAGACAACGTAGAGGCGTTGATTCCCATTTGTCTGCTGTGCCTGTGGCCTCTGTAGCATGCCAGCTCTGCCGCAGATATGCTCACCAGTTCAGTGGTTGCTGAGTGACTGAGCCAGCAATTGAGGGAGTGAGTCAAGCCTCCTGCATGAGCCTGCCCTTCCGCCCTGGGCAAAGCACCCCCTCCACACTTGTCCACCCCACTGGAGCTGCAGCTCCAGCGAGAAGCCTCCTCTCATGGAGAGGGAGGCCCCAGGGCTTTAAAGACACCTGTTCTTCGTAGAAACTGCCTGTCTTCTCCCCATTCTCCCCAGAGCTGAGCAGCAGTTCAAGAACAGGTGTCAGGGAAGCAGAGGGCAACACCACCACTGAGTGCCCAGGTGTA